AAGAAATAACACTCTCTCTGTGTAGTGCTGCACACTATATACTGTGTGTGTGTGTGTGTGTGTGTGTGTGTGTGTGTGTGTGTGTGTGTGTGTGTTTGACATTATTTATGCAGCAACAGTGTCCACTTTTTAATCACTGATTTTTTTTTTTTAATTAGTGTCCTAGCAGCACTTGTCATGTTTTGCTCGCATGTGTCTTACCTTTGGGAGATCCTCTTGCCATGATGTTCCTGTCAATAGGGCTGATAAGGTCTCTGCTGTAGTGATATTCCAGTTAGCAATTTCAGTTGTGGTATACATCCTGGCTATGTTTCCTAATAGTGGAAGGTAGTCTTCAGGCAGCGTGCCAAAGATCTGTTTGTAGCACAAAATACAGTGAGCAGACAAGCAGCATATGCCTGAGTTGTTTCAGTGCACACACTTCTCAAGTGGATATGAAGCTAATGTGTACAAGAAGATCTACTAAGTGTGCAGGATTCACAGACATTGATTCAAAATCCAGTGGGTAAGCAGGTGGATTTGATACACCTTCCTAAGGTTCCAAATCCACCACCAGGAGTTAGTCGTGTGTTTTATTTTTAATGGCTCTTGTTTTTTGTTGAACTTCTTAGGAACTGATTCCTGAATCCGATACAATATCATAATATCCTACCTGTATTTAAGGGGAAGGGAGTGGTAAGAGCCGGGGATGTGGTATCAGGACTTTCGGTTTCTATTCCTGGTCCTGATACAGGGAGTGACTTTGGGCCATTTTGGCCAAAATTTTCAAACTTTGGGTGTTCAAAGTTCAGCACCTACATAGGTGGCTTGATTTTTCAGAGGTGCCGAGAGCACACGGGTCTCATACACTTCCAAGAAATTAAAAGTGCTCAGGCCCCCTGAGAATCAGGCCATTTATTTGTTTAGTTTACAAAATTTGGCCTAAAACACTCAGAGCACTCATGTCCCCAAGTGTGAAATGAAGCTAGGAGTGTTATGAGACTTAATTCATTAATGTTTGCAATATGCTCTAAGATCTTTGCGGGAAAGGTGCTGTAGATGTGGAAAGTGTCCTTGTTAGTTGCTGAACTGACAATATTGAAAAGTTTAACCCCAAACAACCCCCTCAAAAGCCATCCTTCAACATTACCTTTTTGCCCCAACCAGTCCCCCTCCGCATATCTCACCCAACCTGTTCCAGATTCTGCGCTACCTTGTCCAGTTTCAGCTTTAGCACTTGAAGGAGAGGGGCCTGAAATTCCATCTTCCCCAAAGTTTCCAAATTGTTTCTCAGCACATCATCAGGCAGGCAAGCATCCAGATCACTGCTGGATGTGTACTTGGAAGCTAGAAGGTCTCTCTGCTTCACCACCACTTCTGTTGTCAGTGGAGTTCTTGTGCAGTCTGCTTGGGAGAAAGAGGGAGCATTAAAATATCTAGTGTATTTTTTGCCTTCATTCGGCTGTGTGCAAATATCTCCCAGCATGATGTTTCTGAGAACTTAGGGCTAGAATCATGGCAGAGGCAGTAGATTCACCCCTTTGGGGACGGGGAAGCAGCATATGTTGTGACACCACTTCTGATGTGGCCAGTCCTTTTCATCCAGACGGATTCACATGGAGCCTTTTGGAGGCATTGAGGGAAGAGAGGAAGGAGAAACAAAGAACATAACATAAGAACATAAGAACAGCCATACTGGGTCAGACCAAAGTCCATCCAGCCCAGTATCCTGTCTACCGACAGTGGCCAATGCCAGGTGCCCCAGAGGGAGTGAACCTAACGGGTAATGATCAGGTGATCTCTCTCCTGCCACCCATCTCCACCCTCTGACAAATAGAGGCTAGGGACACCATTCTTTACCCATCCTGGCTAATAGCCATTAATGGACTTAACCCCAATTAATTTATCTAGTTCTCTTTTAAACCCTGTTATAGTCCTAGCCATCACAACCTCCTCAGGCAAGGAGTTCCACAGGTTGACTGTGCGCCATGTGAAGAAAAACTTTTATTTGTTTTAAACCTGCTGCCCATTAATTTCATTTGGTGGCCCCTAGTTCTTATATTATGGGAACAAGTAAATAATTTTTCCTTATTCACTTTCTCCACACCACTCAAGGAGGAGAGAACCTTAGCTATAACCTGTGCTGACCTTCTACCTTACTGGAAGTTAATTGATAGCATCAGATTCCATTCTAAGATCTTGTGTATCTACCAAGCAGGAGCTGACATTTTCTGGGAAGATGCAGCTGTGGTACATGAGAGCAGAGGAGAAAGGGAGATTAGTCTAGAGGAAATGAGACCCAGCCAACTCAGGGCACATCACATACAATACATACTTGCAGCTCGTTTTTGCCGCTGAGGGTTTGCAAGCTGTTTCAGAAGATAGGTGAATTGGTTCCTATTCCAGGTCTTCAACTGGCTCAAGAAATCAGGGAAAAATTGTGTCTTCTCTGTCTGTGTAGGAAGAAAAGAACTTTATGGAAAGGCAGCTGCTGGGATAGGTATATTGGACTCTTTAGTAGGTCTGGAGAAATGGTTTTCAGTTTCCGAATCCATCCTCTTTTAAACTGATTTCAGTATTCCTACATTTTACTCTGTAACTTCACAGAACTGTGCAGAAACTGTAGGAACAGGTGTAGGAAGCTCACAGCTTGTATTAGATCACTAATAATGACACCAATACTTAGCACGGATGGGCTCTATATATTTAAAATTTCAACTAACTGAGTCTCACAACACCCCTGTAGGTTAAACACACTGAACAGAGACACAGAGGATAAGTGACGTGCCCAGTGTCTTACAGCAAATCACGGTCAGAGTCAGGGTTACATCCCAGGAGTTTCTGTCGCCTGGTCCCATGCTCAATCCATTAGGCTATGCTGCTTCTCCTGAACTACACTAGGCACAGTGCTGATGTTCCATAGCAGTACAGTACCTCTGAGATCCTTTGAAGTGTGCTGCTCCTCAAGGCACTGGCAAGAATACCCATGTCTGTCAGGGTGCTGACTGTCCATGTTGAAGGCGATCTGAGCAGGAAAGAGATGTATTTTGCATATGCCCTGAGCTTATCAAAACATCCTCATGCTAATGATGTGATCACCCAATGCAGGAAGGGAAATTAAAATGCATCTCCTGCCCAATGGAACACGTCTGCAGAGATGTAACAGAAACCCGATGATGGCTGCACATCAATCAGGAGAGCTTGGACAAGAGACACTATACAAGGGCAGACTATTCCTTTCAGTTTATTAGTCTTTGCCTTCCATTGTAAAGAATGAAAGAACTCGCCCAACGAAAACTATGAAGTCAGTCTGGGACAGACAAATGAGAGAGTTCAGAGGAGAACCAAGCCTTTGAGGAAAAACTGGGCATGTTTAATCTGGAGAACGGTAGAATGAGAGGTGCCGTTATGATGGTGTATAAATAGGCAACGGTGTGTTCTCGAGGAGAAGGCTCAGTTCTTCTCACTAGTCACTGAGGCCAGAAGGAGAAGATGCAGTAGCGAGGACATCTGAGGTTCACCGTTTGGAAAAACTTATCTAGTATAACAGCAATTAGGCCACCGAGCAAGCTGCCATATCAGTGGAGATGCTGGACTCACCCTGACTTGATCCATCCAAGGATGGACTTGACACCCATTCATTAGGAATGCTTTACATATCAATCCTGCCCCAATCAGGGCCGTAGCAACAAAGAACGTGGCCCCCTCCGAACATATGTCCGGGCGGGGCCCCTTACAATGCAGAAACTGGAATGCAGTATTTATTTTGCATTATTTATTTTTAGGGGCCCCCTTCCTTGCGGGGCCCCCTCCGGTACGGAGGGCGCTCGCTACGCCTCTGGCCCCAATGCAGGGGTATGGACTAGATCATGGATTCTCAGCCTAGGGATTGCAATCCCCAGGGAGTTGTGACCACCCCGCTCTTCCCCATATTACCAAATATGCCAGATGAGAGAGGTTTCCTGGGGTGGAGAAGATTTGAGAACCACTGGAGAAGGTGGTCCACTGAGGAGATCCTATCCAACCTGAATGAGTCCATAACACATCACCAAAGAAGTTTATAACATGACTCCATGTGTGACATACCCATATTTGTTCTTTAGCTGCTGCTCTATGGCTGTCAGTTGGTCTTCTGTGAACGACATGCAGCTTTGCAATATTGTTAGGATGTATGGGTCAGATTTTGCAATGTCGGTGCCATTGAGGGCACAGGAAAGATTGCCTAAAATTTGTAGGTTTTCCTTTGAAAATGATAAGGTAGACGTTCCCTGAAAATACGAAAAAAACAAAAGAAATTGACATGAGCCACCAAAGTTCATAGATTCTAGGACTGGAAGGGACCTCGAGAGGTCATCGAGTCCAGTCCCCTGCCCTCATGGCAGGACCAAATACTGTCTAGACCATCCCAGATAAACATTTATCTAACCTACTCTTAAATATCTCCAGAGATGGAGATTCCACAACCTCCCTAGGCAATTTATTCCAGTGTTTAACCACCCTGACAGTTAGGAACTTTTTCCTAATGTCCAACCTAAACCTCCCTTGCTGCAGTTTAAACCCATTGCTTCTGGTTCTATCCTTAGAGGCTAAGGTGAACAAGTTTTCTCCCTCCTCCTTATGACACCCTTTTAGATACCTGAAAACTGCTATCATATCCCCTCTCAGTCTTCTCTTTTCTAAACTAAACAAACCCAATTCTTTCAGCCTTCCTTCATAGGTCGTATTCTCAAGACCTTTAATCATTCTTGTTGCTCTTCTCTGGACCCTCTCCAATTTCTCCACATCTTTCTTGAAATGCGGTGCCCAAAACTGGACACAATACTCCAGTTGAGGCCTAACCAGAGCAGAGTAGAGCGGAAGAATGACTTCTCGTGTCTTGCTCACAACACACCTGTTAATGCATCCCAGAATCATGTTTGCTTTTTTTTTTTGGCTGGATATAGTACCACAATGCATTTATATGGAACATTTCACAGAATATCTCACTTCAGCTGCTTCTGCTTCTACGTCAGTTGCTCTTCGCAACATATACAAGGAGGATAATCAAGCCATGTACTTCCGTGGAAGCTTTTCCTGAACCAGAGTTGTAAGATTTGGGCTTGAACTACTTCTTGTATAAAAGAGTGATCAGTCATGTCGCACATGTTCCTTTCAGGGAGTAAGAAATACCCTTTCCAAAATATCCTGAATGATCCTGAGTATGGGATGGAAAAAGACCTACGCTGAAATCATGGCCCTGCTGAAATCAATGGGAATCTTGCCATTGATTTCAGTGCAGCCAGGATCTCCCCTGCTTAGTGGCGACTTGTTGATATATCCATTCGCTTGGTGCACCCAGTTATAAAAATTCCCGGGGTACATAAAGTCAATTTTAATAAAAGTTGACTTTTTCCTTAAAAATAAAATAAAGAAACAAGTTTCCAGGCTTGTCTACATGGGGAAATTCACCGGAATAGCTTCCCACGTGGACAGGCTTATTCTGGTAGAGGAATATCCAAATAACCATGGAGTGATTCTGGAATAGCTACTGTGCTTTAAATGTATACCCTATTCTGGAATAGCTTCCCTGGTCGAGAAGTTCTGTGGCACTCACTGACCCAGCCCTCCCCACCAGACACCTCAGGCAAAAGACAGTGACAAGAAATGAGCCCTATGGATCAGCAGACTTGCACCATGTCAGGAAAGGAAGTAAATTCTGGAGCGAACACTCCACTGAGCATGCTCAGTCACCACCCCCAATAGTGTATATATATCTAGGGACTGTTAGCTTGTATTCTCAAGTTGATAGCAGCTGTTGAGCTATTCATGGGAAGTAAGTTGGGCTCGTAGACTTTTTGATTTTTAAAGCCAGAAGGGACCATTAGACCATCTAGTTTGACCTTCAGTCTAACATAAGACAGAGAATCTCACTCAGTTACCCCTGGACTGAGCCCCGATAGCCACTGCCCATGCCACTAATACAATGCTGTAACATTTCAGAGCTCTGTAAAAATAAAAAAATTAACTAATCAGTGAATAAAATAGCATCTTACCAGGCAAGCCTTAGCACTCTCCAGCAGCGACTGTCTTTTGGAAGACACTCTTGGCAAAAGGTCGACATTGGCTTGTCCAACAAGGTGAAAATATTTCTGGCAGTTCACTGTGTTTGAAAATTTCTCTGGTCTAGAAAAGATTAAACAGACATATCTGTCCTTCTACAAAACAAACAGTCTTAAACTCTTAGAATTGCAAACTGAATTGCTTAGCTGCACTGGTCAGATGCCCTTCACAATAAATACTATTCAGTGAAAAATGTCTATATTCATCATCACAGGCTTCATTCAGCTCCCAATAAAGTCAACAGAAGTTTTTTATTGACTGAGGGGCTAGTGTATTGATCCCCAAATAATTTACTGGGTGATGAGTATTTGATCCAATGTTGCCAACTCTCCATTTTATCCCAAATTTCAAAATAGTTGCTAAACCCCAGTTCCCGGAGTCATGGGATTACATGAGAGTCTCAGCTTTCTTTTCTTTAGCCTTCATGGTTGCAGAGAAAAGCTTGAACCTGTGAATCCTAATTCTCAAACTCCAGAAGACAGGTGAAAATGAACCCAACCTTTTAAAAATATTAATTTTGTTTTTCTTTCTTTGCTTTTATTTAAATGTTCTGACTTTTGATGCCTGATTGATGATTTTTGAATACTTCAGGTAGCAATACTTTTGGTCAGGTCTGTTGTTGAAACTCAAACATTATCTACAGAATGTTAGCAAGAAAAAGTATATCCCACAGTAAGGTGTCTAACCGGATCAACCATAGCAGTGACTGGAATGGTCCCCTACAAAGCAAGGAACCCAAATGCAACAGCACTGCACGAGTGCAGGAGAAGCAGAAAGTGAAATGGGGCAGTGTGATTCTCCAAGCTGATTTCCATCTATAAATACAGCAGGGGAGGGGGGAGATAAACACCAGCGGTGGAGAAGAGCTAATTAAGATAAAGGATAATATTGGCAGAAGAAGACATGGGGATAAACTGACCATGAATGAATTTAGGGTGGAAATTAGAAGAAGGTTTCTAATCATCCGAGGGATGAGGTTCTGGATCAGCCTCCCAGCAGGAGCAGTGGGGGAACACAACCTAACTAATGTGATACTTGATACGTTTATGAGCTTGATACGTTTATGAACAGAACTATATGATGGGGGTTGCCTGTGAGAGAAAGAAGCTGTATTCAGTGACCCAGCAGGTCACTTGCAGTCCTATGTTCCAAGCTGAGTGAAAAGCAGAAAGTGTATGAATAGCATAAATCATAAGTAGATTAGATTATTAAATTTATTTGTTTTGTTTTCTTTATTAACACTGGTATAATCAAATGGGTAAAGACATCTCAACAAATATACAGTATTGCTAACTTCAAGCATCAAAAATTATGAGCCAGGCCCCCCAAATCATGAGATTTTTAAAAATAAAAAATATTGGGCCCTTTTCATTTGTCTTTTGTTTTTTGAGCCTTTAAGGTGCCCTCGGTCATCTCTGCACTGAGGGGGGCTAGAAACTTAAAATGAAGGCTGATAGCCTCTCCTAGTCACATGACTCCAGGAGTGGGTGCTTTAAGAATGCACCGCATATTGTGAGACTTGCAATAAAATTGCAAGAGTCGGCCACCTTGAATTCATATTGTTGTTGTTGTTTTTTTTTTTAATCTTGAACAGTGTCCTTTCAAAAGTGAGGGAAGAAATGCACTCGTGTGTCTTACCCCATGTAAAAAAGAACCTCGGCTGGATATTCTTCAAAATCTGATGGAGTTATCTGTCCTGACAGTCTTTTCGTCATGCAGCTGAGCTACAAAAATAATATAAATCACGGATTGACTCCTTCGTCCCCAACATATAACTCTCTCACCGGGGTTTCACTAGTCATCTGACCACAATAAAACCACCACTAATAATGCTGCTTTATTCCAAAGACTGGTAAAGACTTTCCCTTGATTTAAAGCGGTACTAGATCCAAGCCCAAAGTGCTATACAAATTTGGTATGTCTCCATTGCAACACCCCTCCTCCCCCAGCGAGACTCAGAGCCTGTGTCTACGCTTAGGCTTGCAGGGCTTGTACACTGATGCTAACACTAGCAGTGGAAACGTTCGTGCTCAGATTCTAAGACCCACTCCCCTCACTGACTTTCAGAGCCCGAGTGGGAATGTCTACACTGCTATTTTTAGCGCTGAAGTGCACGTCTGAGTCTGTAGATCCGGACTCTGAGACTTGCTGGCGTGGGGCTTCCCCCCTCTCCCCTCAGTATAGACGTACCCAGAGTGGCCCTGATCCTGCATTATGATCTACACTGATTTCAGTGCGGCCCTGCCCAGGTATAACAGGCCATCTGCAAGGATCACAATGCAGGGCTGGGGCTTATGCATACCAGTGGGTCACTCACCACTGAAATGAAGCCACCTCTGAAATGGAACACAGCATCTGGCTAATAGTCCACAATGCTATATTAGCCCATGTTGCAATATACCGTAGGTTGGTCACTAGGGCTAACTCCCTTAATCTTCTGCTAAGTGCCATAGCCTCTTTAATAACGATGAGCCTTGGCTTTGTGACTCAAATGAGACCTGACAATGTTTGAAACATGTTTGGTCTAGGTAAATTACTAGGCCTATAAATTTAGGAGCTGTGCTTTCCCTCTAGCTCTATAAAACTGCATGACTCTGATTAACACAAATGTGTGTTTTATACATATCATGGGCCTCATCTCTCCCTGGTGCTGTTCAAACCGCACCAGGGATGAATTTGTTGCCACACTGTGCAATCCTGCTCTCTGCAGACATTCCCACATAGACCTGTGGACGGCTTGCCCTCTGTGCTGACTCACCTGGCTGTCTTCCAGTCGTATTCGTTTGTCCCTCATGGCTTTTGCCAGGCTCGCAAACTGACTGTTGTTTAAAAAGTTTGCTGCTCCACAGCTGAACCCTTGAAGGACAGTGGAAGATAACCTACGTGAGAAATAGAGGCATTAGTATGTGGCCAAAATTTTGGTCCCTTTGCCTTATTCTTCTATGGTATAAAATATAAACTTTTGGAGAATATTTTTATTGGTGGGGAGGCTTATTTCTTGGGATCATCCTTTATATAGGCACACACACAATGCAGCAGTCCTACGGAGGCTGGAAGTGGCTCTTTCAATGCACCTAAAATTGACTGGCAGGGGTCACTCGAGCAATACAACGGGCGCCCCACCTCACAGCGTGCTGCCTATCGAGCTATTAAAAGCCCTTGCCAAATCTGGGAAGTTGAGGACTAAAACTATCAGGGCATCTAAATAGAGCCCATGGTATACACTGACAATGGCAAAGCTACATATCCCATTGCAGTATAATTCAGTGATTCCCCAGTACACAAAGATCAGAGCCCTTGAGTATCTGCGGATGTTTAAATCTATAGGGGCCTTGTCCTTCATCTCACACGCGTTCTTCCATGCATTGTGGAGGTAGCACCATTCATGCTTTAAAGGTAATACCTATTGCCTGCTCAGGGATGGAAATATCAGCTAACTCACCTGGAGTATTGCTGCGTGGACTTCAGCACTGCCTGGAAGAACACGCTGGCCTGTGATTATAAAAGGAAGCAGAGCTCTTAATGTGCTGTGGAAAGGAGCATATTCTACATTTATTTTTCTACATGGGCACTCTTATCACTGAAAGCTTTGCACCCAGAATGAGTGTGAAATACGCCCCTTACTGTGGGATTCCCTTCACTAGTCCCTGCTTTTTCACCACTGTCCTGCAGCCTACTGAAAACCATGCTTCATTCCCCCCGTGCTACAGCACCTTCCAAAGGGAAATGAAAAGACAATGAACTCTCACTCCGGCTGGCTGTATGTTCTGCAGAGAGTGCTTCCATAAACTGCTTTTTAAAAAAACAAAGAAGAAAAAATAGTCCCCCCCCCCCAAATTGGAACAGGTTTATGCTGGAGAACTATTTCCCCCCATTTTAAGGGGAAATTAATAATCATAATTAGTCGTGCACTATCTTTCTATAGCATCATTTCTCTAGTGACACTCAAAGTGATTCACTAAATTCTGCATTCAGCTGCAACAGTGTAAACCTAGAGTAACTCTGCTATCCGCAATGGAGAGAGACTGGATTTACACATCCTTAGATAAAAATTCAACCCTGAATGTGTCACTCACTCCTGAAATGCAGCTGACTCTGGAGTGGAGCGTGGCAGCTACTTTTCACCTGGTACACTACATTTTAGGAGGTTAAACTGGTGTAGCTCTGTTAAGTCAATAAGGACCTGACCCAGAAAAAAGCACTTCGCTTTCCTTTTTGGCTAACAAATGAATAAGAGGAGGAGGTCTGGGAGCAATGGTTCGTTCTTATTTTGGTTCCTTCGGAGAGAAAGAATTCAGTGGCAGTGCCAACTGTCCGTAGGAAGCAGGACACAAGGGCTCTCACGGGGAATTGGAGAGGCTGGGAGAAGAGGAGGAAACGGGACATGAAAATACACAACAACAACAACAAAATGGGCTACCTGAGCGGCTGTCCATTTCTTCTGGTTGATTTCATTGATATTGATCTGGGGAGATGCCAGTCTAGACAGAGGGATCTGATCAGCCAGCTTATCTGGGATATTGAGGAAGGTGCTTCCAGTCACGCTCTGTAAGATCTGAAATGAAAACAAACACGGACGTGCTGGGGGAAGGTGGGCTGCTGGGCTTATAAAACTCTGGGTTGTGTCTTGCAAGGTGATAAGCGCCGACCATTTGCTCTGAAGCCAGTCGAGGGGCAGGGAGAAGGCTCTTCCTAAGTGGCGTGGGGGTTGCTGGATGGCCAGCACGGGAGCCCCGTGTTTATGCAGAGATCGGGTACAGCCTGGGCAGGCCCGGTGCAAGCTTCCCCAGCGTGGGCCTCAGCCCTGCCCAGGAGCGGTCATCTCTAGGCTTGAAAGGAGAACTCGAGCTCGGTGGCCCATTGAGTTCTTGTCCCCTTTGCTGATCCTGCCAGCAAGAGGGCCAGGAAGTGGTTTGGGTTTTGGTGAGATGCACGCACAGACACCGACTTCACACTAACTGCGTCTCAAGGCAGTGACCTGGAGCCTGGACGTATCTGGGTGCTGATGGAAAGCGGCTGGGGTGTTATCGGGTGAAGAGCTGCATTCTTGCCAAGCCAGAGACTCACCCGTTGCACAAACTTGTATTTCACAGGCAGAGGGGCCTGCTCCATGCTCTCTGTGAAATTCTGATCTGCAGCCAGGAGGAGGGTGTCCTTGTTGTCCAGTTTCTCCAGCACATTGACGGGAAGGCCAGGCGCTAGCTTCCCCAGTATCAAAATACTGCTGGCTTTGTTGATCTAGTGAGAGATTCACAACACTGCATGGAAGCCAAAATAAATCATCCTCTGTCTTTTCAGTCAGCTGAACTGTGCCACTGCCGTTGCTGAATGAGAGTAATGCAAGGTTTCTTTAATCACCTTTCAGGCTAACTTATTTGGCCTGATAGGTCAAAAAGTGTGTGTGCGATTGCTCAATCAGTTTGCACGGATGCGTATGCAAAGTGAGTATTCAGGCGTGTGTCTCACTGTGTCTGCTCTGTGCACAATGGCTGATATATATATTTTTTCAATACACCACTAGCGCAGTGGGGTGGATGGGTGGAGGAACATCAATAAAAGAGTTAAACTGAATGTAAAACCTGACTGTGGTCATGGGCTACCTAGTGTGTATATGTCACCACCGCCCTCTACAGCTCAACTGTGTGTCATAAGCCCTATACTGCTAGTGAAGAGTCTCCTTTTGCCCAAGTGGTAGGGGCTAGTGTTTTTTACATAGGAGGGGCTAAGTTTTAGCCCAGCTGTCTCTGTGAAGTTTTGAGTGGCCACAGCATGCCGTACAGTGGCAGCTGAGAAGTCCTTGTGTGCGTGGCTTTGGTACAATATATTGGCTAAGGAGACCAAAGCCCTCCCTTCTTTGTATATATATATTTACCTGGTATCCATTCTGGATGACTTTTTTAATGATGACAGAAGCCTGTGCTGGGCTCCAGCCCCCTGTGGCTGAGAGCAACGGGAGCACCCGCCGAAGGGTTTGCCCATCCGCGTTAGCCAGGAGCACAGACGGCGTTAACCCAACGGCTAAGGGACCGAGTCTTTGAAAGGTCTCCACAGAGAGGTTGCCAGTGATGTCAGGCAGCGCACCGGTCACCTGTGAAAGGAAAGAGCGTTCCGGGGTTACTCCGAAAGGACAAGGAGGCATGTAGAAGGCAGACGTCTATCACGAGTCTGCAGTTCTGTGTCAACTGATTCATATTTGTGTAAGACACGAGGGGGCCCTGGGTAAATTGTTAGCTTTTTATTTCCTTCTCTATGTGATTTGCAAGCCAAGGGGCTAAAGCACAGGCTACCTGGGTTCTTTCCCCAACTCTGCTATTGGCTCATTGGGTGACCTTGGGCAAGTCACTCAGGGCCAAGTTTTTAAGCGTGGCCACTACTTCTCAGTGCCTGACTTTGTAGGTACCCAGCTGGAGACACTTAGGACGTGAGCCTCGGAGGTCTGGAGCACCCCCAACTCCAGACGAAGCCAGTGGGTGCTCTGGGTGCTCAGCACCTCTGAAAATCAGGCTCTGGGCATTTCAAGATGCTGCCTCCTCTCTGTGCCTCAGTTTCCCCGCTGTAAAATGGGAATAACACCACCTGCTTGACGGCGGTGGTCTGAGGTTTCAGGAATTAGTTTGTGAAGCTCTTTGATGCGTGCTATTTATATGGCAATATGTTATTTATTTAGGAATAAGGCTACGCAGTCCACATAGGTATTGGAGTGCACTTCCGCGATGTAATAGAAGAGGGAGGGTTACTGGAAAGATTGCAATGGTGCCCTTGATTTGCAAGGCAAAATACGATGGCTACACACTCCATGAGAGTGCAGACGGGGGGACGCCTCAGTTCCAGTTGCGGGATCCTGGCAGGATGGCAAAGGCGGGTTCCTGCTGCCTTGAAACAACTGCAACGTGCAGCCTAGCGTCTCCAAAGGAGACCTCCCCCGACTCCACTCCTGAGGGCTCACCTCTCCTGCTGGCTCCTGGGAAGGTCTCAAACAGCTCTGCAAGGCTGCCAGAGTCAACCTGGCTTCAGTCGCTGTCGTTTGGCTGATATTCCACTTGCCAGCCACGTAGCAGATCAAATTGTCTGGAACGCTGTGGGGAGAAAAGCAATAACGGTCTCATCAGATAGAGCCAGGATCTTCAGCAACGGGGGGCCGTAAAGACTCCCCTGGGTGCTGCTGCTCTGAGTGAAACAGGAGAGAGAGGCTGGCCCAATGGTTAGGATGCTACTCAGGGATTCGGAAGAGCTGGGTTTAATTCTCTGCTCTGCCACAGACTCACTGTCTGACCTTGGGCTAGTCTCTCAGTGCCTGTAAAACTTCCCTACCTCACAGGGATGTTGGTGATGAATCTGTTAGAGATTGTGAGGTGCTTGCATATTACAGTGAGGGGACTGTTGGTGTCACAGACTGGGGTGTGGGCGGTCAGGCCTAGTGGTCACAGCAGCAGAGTCAGAGTTGGAGTCAGGAACCGAGCAGGGCTGGAGCACGACTGGGAACATGGCTGGCCCAGGAGCAATGGCAGCTGCAAGCGTAAGTGTTGAATAGCCACAGACCTGGTGGTGGCCTCTCAGCCCAGCTCGGGGGGCTGGTCGATCAGGGGGTTCAGCTACAAGTCAACTGTCTGGTCCCGCGCTCGGCTGCAGGCCCTGTTTCCTGGCAACAGGAGTGCCTGAGTTAGTCAGTGCACTGACAACTCACACTGGTTTTAATGCCCCTGACTAGGGTGCATCAGCCCCGGATCGGCGCTATTACTGTCCCACTGCTGCACAATGGGGGGGACAGGCAGAGGCCAGGGTGTGGGGAGTGTCCTACCCTGTCAGCCCCCCAAAGTAGGAAGACAGTGGAGGAGTCGGGATGGACTTTCCCTGCACATGACTAGTGGGGAGGGAGCTTGTAGACCAGTGGGGCTCTCCCTCCAGGCGCAAGCTAAGGATGGCCATGTTGAGACCGGGAAATCCCACTGAGTTAAACTGGTTCAGATGAAACTCAATCGGGTGCCTGAGTTTGCTGGTTTTGTGTGAACCCCGAACTCAAAAAGAAACAGAACTGCCTTGAAATCAGGCAAGCAAAACCCGGTGGGTATCATGCACCGTGGCCAGGCAGCCCTAAAACCTCTGTGAAGCTAACGTTGATGTCTGATTTGTTGGCTTAAAGGTACATGCGCCGTCCCCCCAGCAGTCACAGACCAGTCACGTTACCTTCCCAGCGCGATGGAAGGATTCTGCATCGTGATCAGAGCGGAGTAGTATTCCTTCACGTCTTCTGAGAGGGCGAGTTCCCCCACCAGCGCCAGGTTTTGAGGATCCACCACAAAGTCTTGAAGCTGCTCTGACGAAAGGTTTCGATGTTACCATTGTCCTTGTTATTGAAACATGCCCCCCCCCACCCCAACAGCAGGTCAGGATCAGAAAACGGCCAACTAGGGACCAATCTCTGCCGACTGCCCTCTGGGAAATGTCCATAGGTAACCAGCCAAGTGAAAACATGTGCAGAGCGGTTGTGGAGACTGGGGAGTTTAAGTCACATTAGCAGGGCAGGGTGCTGATCACTCCCGGACTGGCTCTACTCTCCACCGGCTGCAAGTGGTCCTAGCCCTGTCTCTTTAAAATATGGCCTATTCGGGGATACTCGGGCAGCCATCAGCCCAGCCAAACACCATGCGACGGGGACTCTGTGCAACTACACCAGGCAGCCTGAGGGGCTTTGTCTTGCAAGGTTCTCTGTTGGATCTCAAAGGGTACAAGTGCACCCCTGGTATAATGTGGCTGGCATCGGTGGGGTTACCCCAGGGATGAGCTTGGCCCTAGGGCATGTGTGACGCCATAGCACTCCCGGAGGTAGTAACAGTACGAAGGGAGCCGGATGGTCATCAACCATTGCCATTGCTGTACAGGAGGAAAGCTGAATTGCAAGGGAAAATTCCAAGATCAGGAGGCAGAGAAAACCCTAATCTCCTTCCAAACTGAGATGGAAGTTTCCTGTTCTCCTGATTTCCCAGCATCCCCAGGACTTAAGCTTGGACCTATAATACAACGTAACCCTGAGAATAAGTTTAAAAAATATAAAGCCAAATGATCTGCTTCTTCTAAATGGGCAAATCTCCACCGAAGCCCCTGGATCTGCCCCAGCAGGGGAAGCGGCCCGTCGAGTGGTGTGACTGTGGCCCTGCAGGGTGGAGCGGCAGTGTGCTTGGCAGCGCATTGCCGAGACAGCCTTGCTGCTATCTGCGGGGCCTTGCAGCTCAGCCAGCTTGCTGTGTCCTTGCAATGATCTCAGTGATACAAAACAAACGCTCGGAAACACTGGCCCAGCACGGCCTTCGGGAGCCTCTTATCCTTCGCACCGAATGGCTGGGTTTGCTTCGCTTTTAGGCGGCTGCTCAGCAAGCGGATGAGCCAGCCCCGAGGCCGTGGCCAGCACTGCCTTTCTGCCAATAATAAAAACAGCCCCCATCCCTTTTACAGCACGTTCCCTCTTTACGGATATGAACTAACTGATGCCCCTCGTCCTCCAGGATGTAGATAAATAGTCTTATCCCCATTTTACAGATGAGTGAAACTGAAGCCCAGAACAATGCCTGTTGGAATCCACGAGAGTCTTTCCATTGACTGCAGTAGACTTAAATGAGGCCCAAGATCCCAGAGCAAATGAGAGCAGGGGTTCTGAGTGTCCTGATTAATCTGTTAGATCCTGCTGCCTCACGAGGTATCCCCTCGGAGTCCCTCCCCAGAACTCTTTGCCATGATGCCTACAACTAACTTGACAACAGTTATGCTGCTGGTGTGCAGAGACCAGTATTGTCTCATTGTTTCCTTGTATTCCCCCATCTATCTACATCCATCTGTTGTCTCTTGTCTTATATTTAGACTGGAAGCTCTTTGAGGGCACGGACCATCTTTTTGTTCTATGTTTGTGCAGCGCCTGGCATAGTGGGGTCCTGTCCATGACTAGGGCCCCTAGACACTATGCTAATATAAATAAATAATAATAACATCAAGCTTGGACACTGATATGTTAATATGCGTGAATGCACTCCTACATCGAAGGAAAGTAAAACCTAGTGAAAGAAACCCCTCAAGAAACCTAAACTCTGTACATACCAACTGCTGGCTGTCACTGAAGGCTCTGAGATCCTCACCAGTGCAGTATGTCAGATACTTTCCCAGGTAGTCTAGAAACCAAGCCGTGGAGTTCTGGTCCCCGTTGCTTTGGTTATAGCACTTTGGCTTGTCACCTGTCAGGGATGAGAGTTATCATTTCTCAACAGTTGTTTATAAATTGACAGTGTCTATCGGCTACCGTTGCTGTTGTGCCTTCATCCCACAGTGTTTCCTAGTGATACAGAGTGAAAATGCTGGCAGACCCAAAGTATGTGTTGCTATGACAGATTAATTCTTAACGGGTCAGAAATCTGTGCATTGGTGTCCTCTGTTGGACAGAGTGTGAGACCTACTTTTGTGTTAATTCAGTTCCCTCTGAGAGCCAGTCTCCTAAGCAAACCAGCCCCCCTATAGTTTTCCTAACAATAAATATAAATGAAACTAATATTAGCTATGTTGCACCTGCTACCCCAGAACAGACTGATGATGATCCAGCTAATTCTGTTTCCCTCTGCAAACACCAGATGCTTCAAAGGAAGGTTTAAAACAGTCAGACACTTAATTGATGAATGCTATCCCTGGGGAGAAGTTTCTTCTGGATCCTAGCTGGTAATCAAGCACGAGACCTAGTGAGGATTACTGCTTGCAATTTTGGTCCTAGCTAGTGTAATTGCACTTGCTATTTTTATTAATCTAAATGTCTAATTAAAAAAATGACAAGATTACTTGCCTCAAAAATATCCTGCAGTAGAGAGTTCCACGGGTTAATTATACATTACGTGAGGAGCTTACCTGGCTGAAGAAGATAGTTCTTGAGAATGAAGTAAATGCTTCGCTGCATCTCTGCTGTGTAATCATGGTAGTGGATATTTAAAGCCTTTACTCTGGTGTGAGGGGAAAAAGGGAAATGTTAAGGCATTAACAAAAAGGTGTTGCATTCTGCAGATGGGGAATGGACGAGGTGATCAGACAGAGGGGCGGGGAGCTTGCTAGAGATCCTTTACTGCATCCAACCAACTTGTGGTAAATTATAGATCTGCTCTTCGGTTTCTGTCTCGTGTCCCTTTGAGAAACACCCAAACTGTTCTCCACACACCCAAAGTGCATTTTAAAGCTCAGGCCATAGGAGATAATACACATCAATGTGTCAATGTAACCCTTATTACATTGTAATATACATTACAGTGTACGCTGTACATTAAATAGTGTAGCTTTTGTCCCCCTCTAGCAGCTGGAAGAGTCAGCTACTGCTCTAGTGGAGTTGTTCCTTTCGCTCAAGCAGGAGAAGCGCTTTAGTTAGAGTCAGAGGTGCTGAGTGCAGCCCTTGAAGGCTGTCGTCAGCTTAGGTACCTGCTTTCTCAAAGGCAAAAGGAGAAATACTTACAGATGCCGGAATGCCAGGCAATTTGTGGTAAGAATCTCAGATGTATTGAGCTGACTCTGGGTGATGAGAGGGAGATGGGTCTGGAGCCGCTTGTTTAACCATTGATCCAAACTGGATGAGTTAAGGGAGCTCAGAGCTGCCACAAAGCTGGGCCAGACACCATTCAGAACAGCTTTCAGGCTCCCCTCGGTCCTATTTACCTGAGAGATGCAGGATTGCACTGTGTAATTAAAGGTGATGTGAAGTTGGCTAACAGGGGGAGGGATAGCTCAGTGGTTTGAGCCTTGGCCTGCTAAACCCAGAGTTGTGAGTTCAATCCTTGAGCGGA